CATCCCCAAATTCCCACATCCCCAAATTCCCACATCCCCAAATTCCTGCATCCCCAAATTCCCACATCCCCAAATCTCCACATCCCCAAATCTCCACATCCCCACATCCCCACATCCCCACATCCCTACTAATACCGTAACCTAACAGTGTAATACATTATAGTTCACTAACATTCTAATATTATAATCCTTAATATTAAAACCTAGAAACCTTGTATCCCATACCCAGAAAAATATCCCTATCGACCTATTATTTCAGTTCAAAGATATTTTCAAAAAATCTAAACTAAACTAAAGTCCCAAACTTGATATAACTTCAAACCCCACAAATGAATAAAAAGTTACACCTCTAAATTTCAACTTTCCCAACTCCCCAACAAAATGTTTGAAATGAATGAAATTCAAATATCTCCCAAGAGTTAATTCAAGTGTTAGAGAGTTCGATGGACGCCAATTGCGTCCGCGAACATCCGGGGAAATAAATCTATGTCCGTGGTCTTCCAGCTTTATCCTCTCCCTTTTTTTTGTAGAGAAAGATTGCTTCGAGGACTAGTGGATAGTTCATCGAATCTCATTCTTCGTTGTCCTTTTAATCCCCGTCTTGGAACGAACGAAATCGTAAATCTTTCGAGTCTTCTTTTGTTAATGTTAATAATGGAACGGATCTCTTAGAATTTGTTGTCCATTCGCTGAGTATTGTGTTAATTTGATACGGAATTGAGGTTCCATTCAATGTTACCAAGGTTTGGAATAAAATTTTCGTTAATGTTTCCAGTGGTAAGTATTCAATGTTGGGAACAACGAAGGTGGGTTATTGTTTCGGTAGCAGGGGTCTTAGTGACCTTTTAATTGTGGAGTGAAGGGTAAGTTGAGTGAGGAATTATTAAATTCTAGTTGTGAGATGGAAAGTTTTGAGAATTTGGGAGATAGAGAGTGTGGAAAGTTGAGAAATAGGAAATTTTGAGAATTTTGGGAATTTGAGAGTTTGGAATTTTGAGAATTTAGAATTGTGAGAAATAGGAAATTTGAGAGCTTGGAATTTTGAGAGTTTGGAATTTTGAGAGCTTGGAAATTTGAGAATTTCGGGAATTTGAGATTTTGGTATTTTGGGAGCTTGGAAATTTGGGAATTTGGAAATTTGAGAGTTTGGAAATTTGAGAGTTTGGAAACTTGAGAGTTTGGAAATTTGAGACTTTGCAAATTTGAGAGTTTGGAAATTTAAGAGTTTGGAAACCTGAGAGTTTGGAAATTTTCCTATTTCCTCGATTCGGCTGGAAATCTTCCGCGACGCGTATTTTCGGTGGGATTTTTTTCAGGGATGTTTTTTTCCTATTTTTGCGAAGGGTGCATTCGGCTGGAATTCTTTCGTAACGCGTATTTCCGCTGGGACTTTTTTATTGAGAGTTTGGAAACTTGAGAGTTTGGAAATTTTAGAATTTAGAAATTTGAGAGTTTGGAAACTTGAGAGTTTGGAAATTTAAGAATTTAGAAATTTGAGAGTTTGGAAACTTGAGAGTTTGGAAATTTGAGAGTTTGGAAACTTGAGAGTTTGGAAATTTAAGAATTTAGAAATTTGAGAGTTTGGAAACTTGAGAGTTTGGAAATTTGAGAGTTTGGAAATTTGAGAGCTTGGAAACTTGAGAGTTTGGAAATTTGAGAATTTGGAAATTTGAGAGTTTGGAAATTTGAGAGTTTAGAAACTTAAGAGCTTGGAAATTTGAGAGTTCGAAAATTTAAGAGCTTGGAAATTTGAGAGTTTGGAAATTTGAGAGCTTGGAAATTTGAGAGTTTAGAAATTCGAGAAATTGGAAATTTGAGAATTTGCAAGCTTGATTATTTCTAAACTATAACTATTCTGAAGTTTCAAAATTTCCTATTTTAAATCTTCGTTAATCTGAAAATTTATAATCTCCAAAATTCAAAAATAAAAACTAGTTAATCAAAACCCATAACCAATATCTCAAAACCCACAAATCACCCAAATCCCAATAACACCTACAAGTACCACATCAACAAAACACTGCTCCAGTGTTCGTATGAATATACAATTCCTAAACAACCTCTCAAAAATGATTACCTCTCGCATAAATTTAAATACGATCAAAACTACTCACAATTTGTTTAACACTCCACCTTATTTAAACAAAGCCACCTATGCAATCACGTACCGATTAACATTGCAGTAATTATCGTGACAAGAAAACGCGATTAATCGAAGTACATGATCATTTTTCAGAGAACACACAAGCACGTGACTGGAATATTCCTTTGACGAGAGAGCGTCGGTTATTATAGCTGGTAAATTTTCATTATCGGCCCGCGTGATCGATTTTACGAGGAGGAAATTCGAGAGAAATAGGTAGATTGAAGGGGAACGGAAGGAACGTCGGAAAAAAGTGGAAGAAAAATGGGAGAAGAAAAACGTGAAAAGCTAGCAAGGTACGTATAGACAAGTTTGAAGTGGTTGTATGAATAAAAAATATGTCGTCAACACCAGGCGACCTATTTCCCCGTCTCTCTTTCTCCTCGATGAATATTAAAACGGAAACATTTTGCGAAACATTTACGAGCGATTGTCAGCAAGGTATATTTACGCGAACGATTGTCGAACGTTCAACAACGTGGATGACGCTTTTAACTTTGTTAATCGTTGTATTTTCACTGTTGCTTGTTTGTTTTTACATTTGGGTGATTCAGGATGAAATATTTTCAAATTTGGACAATTTGGAAATGTTGGAACATTGAAGAACTTGAGACGAGTGAATAGTTAGAGAAATTACTGAAATTGAGAAAATTGGTGCAAACTTGGAATGATTGGAAAAGTTGAAGAATTGGTTGAACTTGTCAAATTTACAATTCTAGTAAAACTTAGGAATTTGGGAAAATTGAGAAAACCTATAAAACACAGTATATTCAGAGCTTGGAAAATTGAAAAATTTAGGCAAATTGGAAAATCTAGGAAAATTGAGAAATTTGGAAAAATGGGAAAATATGGAAAAATAGGAAAATGTAGGAAAATGGGAAAATCTAGAAAAATAGGAAAATTTAAGAAAATTGAAAAATCTAGAAAAATAGGAAAATTTAAGAAAATTTGAAAATCTGGAAAAACAGGAAAATTTAAGAAAATTGAAAAATCTAGAAAAATAGGAAAATTTAGGAAAATTGGAAAACCTAGAAAAATACGAAAACTTAGGAAAACTGGAAAATCTACAAAAATAGGAAACTTTAAGAAAATTGGAAAACTGGAAAATTTAGGAAAATTGGAAAACCTAGAAAAATACGAAAACTTAGGAAAACTGGAAAATCTACAAAAATAGGAAACTAAGAAAATTGGAAAACTGGAAAATCTACAAAAATTGGAAAATTTAAGAAAATTGGAAAACCTAGAAAAATACGAAAACTTAGGAAAACTGGAAAATCTACAAAAATAGGAAAATTTAAGAAAATGGGAAAATCTAGAACAATAGAGGAAAATTGGAAAATCTAGAAAAATAGAGGAAAATTGGAAAATCTAGAAAAATAGAGGAAAAGTGGAAAATCTAGAAAAATAGGAATATTTAAGAAAATTAATGAAACATAACATCTAAAAAAACTTATAAACCTTAAAAATATCTAAAATTGCAAAAATATAGAAAAACAGCAAAATTCAATAAACTTGCAAGGTTTATAAAATTCCTAAAATTTGAAGTCAGTAAATTATTTACTTCAAGAATTAACACTCACAAATCCACCTGCTTGAACGTCAAAGAACAGTGAAGAATCAAACAACAGTAAAAGAGTAAAAGAATTGGAAAATTAAAGGAAAGAAAGAAAAAGTGATGAAGATCGAAAAGGAAGAATGCAAGTCAATTCAAACTTACCGCCAGTGTCGTGAGGCGGAAATAGCAGTAGCCTAAAGGTAGTCGGACGAAGACTCGTGCAGAGCACGGCTCGCACTGAGAGAAGGCTGCCACGCGAAACGAATCCGGGCACCTCGTGTTCCTTCTCCGCCACTTACTCTCCACCGCTTCCCTCCGCTTTCCATCCTCGAACACGATGCGCAACCTCGGAATATTTATGCCACCCTGTCCCGCTTCCGTTCCACCCTCTGGAACTCGCTTTTCCGAACCGAAATCGTTTCGTCGCGGAGATGTTGGATCGTGTCGACTTTCTTTCTTGACTTCCTTACTAGATCGTTCAGAGGTAATTAGGTATATTTCGCGGTTAAATGACATGTCGATGTTTACTGTAATATGTGTACATGGTTTGTAATGGGCTGTTAGTAGGACTGTTCGATTTAGGAGAGGTGGAAATTTTGGGGAGAGTTTAGGAATTTTGGAATTTGGGAATTGGAGAATGTGGGAATTGGGGAATGTGGGAATTGATGAATGTTGGAATTGGGGAATGTAGGAATTGGGGAATGTGGGAATTGGGGAATGTGGGAATTGATGAATGTTGGAATTGGGGAATGGGGGAATTGGGGAATGTGGGAATTGGGGAATATGAGAATTGGGGAATATGGGAATTGGGGAATGAGAGAATTGGAGAATGTAGGAATTGGGAAATGTGGGAATTGATGAATGTAGGAATTGGGGAATGTAGGAATTGGGGAATGTGGGAATTGGAGAATGTAGGAATTGGAGAATATAGGAATTAGGAAATGTGAGAATTGGAGAATGTGGGAATTGACGAATGTTGGAATTGGGAATGTGGGAACTGGGGAATGTGGAAATTGGGGAATGTGGGAATTGGAGAATATGAGAATTGGGGAATATGGGAATTAGGAAATGTGAGAATTGGAGAATGTGGGAATTGATGAATGTTGGAATTGGGGAATGTGGGAACTGAGGAATGTGGAAATTGGGGAATGTGGGAATTGGGGAATATGAGAATTGGGGAATATGGGAATTGGGGAATGAGAGAATTGGAGAATGTAGGAATTGGGAAATGTGGGAATTGATGAATGTAGGAATTGGGGAATGTAGGAATTGGGGAATGTGGGAATTGATGAATGTTGGAATTGGGGAATGTTGAAATTGGGGAATGTGGGAATTGGTGAATGTGGGAATTGGTGAATGTGGGAATTGTGGAGTGTGGGAATTGGGAAATGTGAGAATTGGAGAATGTGGGAATTGATGAATATTGGAATTGGGGAATGTGGGAATTGGGGAATGTGAGAATTGGGGAATGTGGGAATTGGGGGATTTTGAAAATTTGGGAATTTTGGAATTTTTGGGTTTAGACACTTTCAGGTTTGGGGCTTGGGAGGTTGGAGAGTTTGGACATTTAGAATTTAGGAATTTGAAGAATTTGGACAATTTAAAAATGATTTAAATTTAAAAATTTCGGAATTTCGAAGTTTAAAGTTCTGAAAATTGCAATCTAGGGATTTCTGAATCTAGCAATTGCAGAATTAAGGATTTTTTAATTTAGTAATCATAGATTTAGTGATTGTAACGGATTTGTGGATCTACAGATTTTTACCTAGAAATTTTGTGTCCAACGAATTTGTAGATCTAGGAATATTTCACGTAGACACTTCAGACCTAGAAATGTATAACTAATTTACAAATTTATTTTCAATTTAAAGTTCAGTACACACTCAACTCCGAAAGTTGAAACGTTAATGCGTACTGTAATAATAAATATAATTAACAATTTGAAAAATTAGTATGGTCAATATGAAGTTGATTGATGATAACGAGAACGATGGAACACGGTTATGTGGATAAACAAGGCACGCTTTAATACGACAAACAAATTGTATCGAAACGTCAAGGGAACAATTGTATGGATTCCTGGCAGCCGCAGTAGAGCGTGCCTGTCTATGGTCAGACACACGTAAGCAAACAGGTGGAGGGATCGAATTATCCGCAATATCCTCTGCACAGTAGCAAATCCTCTTTCCATTAATATACGTAATATAATTTCACACGTGCTGCGTTATACCTACGAGTTACATGTTCATGCATTGTTACACGTTTTATCGCTACGCGTTTTATCGTCGGGGTCTTTTCAATGAGAATAGGACACTTTAGGTAAACTCTTCAATTTTGGGATTTGTAGATTTCCACGTTGACATTTTACAAATTTTCTAATTTTTCAAACTCTCAAATTAAATTTCCAAATTCGTAACTTTTTAAATTCTCAAATTGCTAAATTCACAAATTTTCAAATTTCTAAACCCCCCATCTTTCAAATTGCCAAATTCCAAAAACTCCAAATTTCTGAACCCTCAAACTATCAAATTGCCAAATTCTCAAATCTCCAAATTTCTAAACCCCCAAATTCTCGAATCTTCAAATTTCTGAACCCCCAAACTCTCAAATTGCCAAATTCCCAAATCTCCAAATTTCTAAACCCCCAAACTGTCAAATTGCCAAATTCTCAAATCTCCCAAATTTCGAGATCCCCAATCTCTCACTTTTCCAAACTCTCAAGTCCCCAATCTCCCAGATCCCCAAACTCCCAAATTCCAATACTTCCAAATTTCCAAACTCTCAAGTCCCCAATCTCCCAAATCCCCAAACTCCCAATTTTCAAATTTCCCAAATTCCAATACTTCCAAATTTCCAAACTCTTAAGTCCCCAATCTCCCAAATCCCCAAACTCCCAATTTTCAAACTTCCCAAATTCCAATACTTCCAAATTTCCAAATTCTCAAGTTTCCATCCTTCCAAATTCCAAATTCTGAAATTTCCAAATTCTTCAGTTTCCAATCTTCCAAATTTCAAATTTTCAAATTTCCAAATCTTAAAATTTCGCTACGTCCCGTATTTAATCGACACCTCCCATAATTTCTCCTCCCAAGACCGCAAGTACGTTACCTACAATCGATAACTTGTCACACATATCCCCGTCGAAAGCGCACAAAACTTCTACTTTCGTTAGATTTAACTTCCGTTAAATTAAGAGAAATGGCAGAAAGGATAATTGTAGACAATTAATCGATCGTCGTACGATATTTCCCACGAACCTAACGCGTTTCCATGTAACGCTATATCCTCGGCATAAACGGCTACGTGAACAGGGGAAGGCGGCTGTACGTTAAATATTATGCCGTGCACGGGTTAGTTAATTGGTCAGAGCAAGCCAGTTAGTTTCATTACGTTACCTCCATCTTCGTGGGTTTCGCACAATGGAGGCCTCTTCTGGTATCGGGGCCACTAGGCCTCCATTCGTTCTAGAGTCCCTTCATTGCAACGAGACCATTTTCTCACGAAATTTTCATAGATACTATCAAATCAAAGTGACAGACAATATCAAATATATTTAGAATTCATCAAGTACCATAAAAGATAAAAGTGAGGTTATGATCGCGTCGCCATTAACGATTTCTGTACTTCCTCCATTTTCTTGTAATTATGTATGGTGTTTATGATGTTTATACGATGTTGGTTTGGTATTAATATTTTATGGATCTATTTAGGGGCATTTATGCACATGTATTTATGTATACATACATTATGTATGTGTATATCTTCTTTTATAACGACTATTTAAGTACATTTTTTTGAGGTATGAAATAATAATTATACAAGATAATAAAATAAAATAATTTTACAAGTTATGGACTCGTGTGTGTATTTGAAAAGCTTTACAATATTTTGTCAAGGAGTAACAGTAAATTTAAACTTGAATGTTTAGACATATTAGACATATTAAACACAATTGTGTGTAGACATACATATATGTATACATTTTTACATATGAGTATTTTCATATATGTACATGTGTATATTATTTTTAAATATCAACAGGCTAACTGATCTATGAGTACCTTTAAAATCTGTACAACACATATATGTTTATGATAAAAATATGTGCATATGCACACATGTGTACATATGTACATTTTATTTTTAAAATTCTGTCTGACAATTTGATGTTTGAATTTGTTTAATCTTGAGAATTTTAGAATAACAGTTTATGTACATATTTGTATCTGTGCATGTATGAAAGACATCTACAGTCACACATGCACATATGTACATACATATGTGTACACGTGTATTTTTAACAGAGAGTCTAAACTTTAACAGCATGTATATGTACATATATGTTGTATCATGATAAATGAACATTATAATTATTGTTTAACATCATTTGATGTCATGATATTAATGTTATGAATACTTTTTGATTTCTTCGTCGATCTTGAAACTCAAATGAAGATCACATCGCAATGACGAGTAAACGAGATGATAAAAATTGTTGTTAGAAAACTAATAAATGGCGAATACGGATGATTAAGGCGTAAATGGATTGGTCACGAAGAAGATGGCGAGTAGCAGAAAGCGTGAATGCTTGGCTCGAAGGATCGTGGAGGGCATCGTTAATGACCCACTATAAGTGGCAAAGAATTGCACGCTGGCACGCTCTCCTCGTACCCTGATCGAGTGCAGGGCCTCTAAAATACGAGTAACGCGTCCGCAAGTTTTGTTATCGTTGCACGAGCCTGGTGAGAGAGTTTAGTGCAAGGTTAGACGGCGATGAGTGAAGTGTGCATCTACGCGGCCATTGTTCCTCGGTAGCAATTAGGAAGGATTTTTGGAAGGATTCGTAGAATGTGAGTACAAGTTGTTCATATAATTTGTGGATAATTAATATATCACGTCGTTTTGCTATTAATTTCATTTCTGATTTCACTGATGTCACTGAGTTAGTTTTACATTCTTACATTCTTCATTTACATTTTTAAATCACTTTGTTATTCAATTATTTGTTCTTATATTCACTTTTTAAGGGTGAAGTTACTTGTTCTTAAAAGCACTTTCTATAAAAAAATTGTTTGATTTTATAATCACTTTCTGATAATAAAGTTACTTGTTCTTAATAGCAGTTTCTGTGAAAAAATTATTTTTAAAATCAATTTCTGACAATAAAGTTACTTGTTCTTAATATCACTTTCTATGAAAAAGTTATTTATTCTTAAAATCACTTTCTGACAATAAAGTTACTTGTTCTTAATATCAGTTTCTATGAAAAAATTACTTATTCTTAAAATCATTTTCTGACAATAAAGTTACTTGTTCTTAATATCACTTTCTATGAAAAAATTATTTATTTCCTACAATCACTTTCTGACAATAAAGCTACTTGTTCCTAAAATCACTTTGTAACAAAAAAAAGTATTTGTTCTTAAAATCAGTTTCTACAAAAAATTATTTTAAT